TGTTTGACTCACTTCTGATAGGGGGGGGGGTGGAATACTTTAAATGTGCCTGCCATAGGTTGATCCATAGTTATTCGTGGCTGCTACTTTCTTTTACTACTTAATTCATTTTATGTGTCACATACTTTTTTTTCTCTTAATAAGTAGTTAATGTCACATACATGCGGCTTTCACTCAATTGCAGTGGTGCTGGAGCGACCTTCTTTAGATCCTGGGCTACATACTTGAACCGTTCCATATTTCTTACTCCTGAGGTACCTCAGTAACTCTTCTATGTGGCACTGATTTGTTTTTGAAAACGTGTGAACTGATACCAAATGCTGAACTTCGCTGCTGATGACTGCCAGCTTAGTATAGACCTTTATAGTTGTGGTATTTGCTTCAATGGTTTCCATCTGCTTACGTTTGATCATAATTTTTTAAAGGGGTGTCTTGAAATATAAGATTTTCTGATGGCAGGACTTTGTTTCGTTTCTCTGACAATCTTCTTCCACAACTTCAAAAACTAGTGAAAACAGAAGTTTATCCAAATTTCCAACCACCTCTTTTTCTTTCTTTCTTTTTTATTTATTTTTGGTTGACAAAACTGTAAGTACTTTTCATATTGATGATGATCTACATAAACCTAACTGGTGACCCCCTGAATACTTCTTGGACTGACAATAATGAATTATTCACCTTGGAGTCGAAAGAACCATCTAGAAATCTCTTATTTTGGAGTTCTTGACATTCTAATAGCATTCAGCTAATGCAACGACATTTTGATTGTTGGGTCTAGATTTGATTCAGCATGATTTTGGTTTTTGCATTCATGAGAGATTGAGCTGTCTGTGGTTGGTTATATTTGTTTTGTCGGGCCTTGGTGGTTCAATGCATGTTGATTTATACTGATTGATACCTGGTTCATATTAGCGAATACCTAGCATAGGATGTTGATTTGTTTTATTGCAGGGGGACCGCACAGATAAGCGAGACGCTAGTGCCTTTAATACATGGAAAGATATCATCATTCCTGGGAATGTTGATGATGGGATGACTAGTCGTGGGGCTGGGCTGGTCCAGCCTTTACCTTTATCTAAGAGGAAGTATTTGGCAAACTTCTTAGGTCGAGCACAAGGAAAGGTTGGTCGTCTTCAATTGGTGGAGCTTGGTAAGCAATACCCAAATAAGGTATGTCTTCCATTGTAGCTCCATTGTCTAAGGTGGAATTTAGCTCATTTGCAAAAAAAAAAAAAAAAAAAAATTGGGCTAAATATGCAAACACATTTAAACTTGGTTTTAACGGGCTAAACCGAACAGGTCCGATATCAACCTTCTCTCTCTCTCTCTCTTGATGGTTGCACGCTATTTTTTTTTTATAGGTACAACTGAAATAAAAAGGATAACACAGGCCTAGGCCCTTTCACAAGACATGCCAATCATGTCAGTTATAAGAAATTCCCTAATAACAACAGGTGGTTCATTAACTGCTAAGATCTCCTCAGGTTGATCAGCACCAAATTTGGCCAGGGTATCAACACATAGATTTCCTTCTTTATACACATGTTGCACAGTGCATTCACAACCTCTCATGATGATTCGAGCATCCTCCACCAACCCTTTGAATGGGCATTTAGCATCTGGTTTCTCTTCCAGCATCTTCATTGCTTATTCGCAGTCTGTCTCAATGGTCACTTTGTTCATCTCCTTTTGAAGAATCACTGTTAGCCCTTTGTAGATAGCCCATAGTTCAGCCTCCAAGCTTGTGCCAATGTGAAGCTTCCCATAATAATCACACACCCATGCTCCCCTTTCATCGCTAATTAGACCTCCAAAACCACCTTCACCTCCCAGTCTTCTACAGCCGTCTGTGTTTAACTTTAGCCTACCTGCAATTGGGAAAGACTATGTTATGAGTCTAAAAGCAGGTTTAGGGTTAACAATTGACATAACAAAATCTTAGTGAATTTCATTGGAGTAATCCATAATGAACTTGCCATTATCAAGATTATTAGTCACAATATTATAAAAAACTTTGTTGTTCCTATTCTTTCGAATTGCCCAGAGAGTAACAATAAACACAGTATAGACTGTAAGATTTGCATTAAAATGATTTTTGTTTTTAGAATTGCATAAAATCCAGTCCCTCCAAGGCTTGCTACTCATTACCATTGCCTTCTAAAAATAACAAACCACACTTCTTTTGCTTTATAGCAGTCTTTCAGGAGATGGTTCATATCCTCCTCTTTATAGCAATTGGGGCAAGTAGGCTCCACAGTCAAGCCCCTTTTCATACGAAGCTTATTTGTGAAGAGTTTCCCATGGATACAACACCACAAGAACCCTTTCAATTTTTGGGGAATCCTTAACTTCCAGAGCCATTGCCAATCCTCTACTTGGGGCTGATTATCACTCACCAGAACATAGGCACTAACAATTAAGAAAATCCCATTTGCTGAGCCTTTCCAGTTAGGCTTATCAGGCTTAAGAAAGTTTGGGGAAGGGCTGTCCAGAATAATTTCAAAAATTTCAGGAGGCAACATATCACAGATAACAGCTTCATTCCAAGTTCCTTGCTCAGTCAACAAGGTATTCACATTAACGACATCACTCTCCCTAAAAGGGAGCAGATTGTGAACTACTGAGGGTTAGCTCCTCAATGGGCTTGCCTCCACACCACCAATCCTTCCAAATATTGACTATGGCACCATTTCCAATTGTCCATTTAACCCATTTTCTCAAGATGGCTCTAGAGTTAAGAATGTCTTTCCAAGTATGAGATGCTCTCCTATCTCTAGAGCAATCTTGAAAACAATTGTTCCTCAAATACTTACTTTTAGGGACCCCTTTCCAAAGACCATCCTTATTACCAATCAATTTCCAGCCAAGTTTAGACAACAAGGCAAGATTTTGATGCTTGGCTTTCTTGATGCCAAACCCACCATTCCTTTTCTACTGACAAACATTATCCCACTTAACCAAATGAATTTTCTTCTTCTCTGGGGTATCACCCCATAGAAAATTTCTATTCATTTTGTCAATATCATTACAGACCCTTTTAGAAATAGCCACAGTTTATATAGTATAAGTAGGAAGAGCAGAGCTAACAAATTGGATTAAAGTAGTTCTACCAGCTAGTGATAAAACACTAGTTTTCCACCCGGGAAGCTTCATTTTCATTTTATCCAGAATACCATTGTAGTGTTTCCAACTCACTCTGTCATGAATGAGAGGAACCCCCAAATATTTCCCTAACTCAGAGGTTAAAGGAATACTACATTTGGCACTCAGATCTTTAGCCTTGTTTCTATCAACATTAGGTGAAACAAATATCTTAGACTTAAGGGCATTAATCTTAAGTCTAGATATGTCATAAAACTCAGTCATGATCATCATTATAGTATTGCAATGGGCCATGTTAGCCTTAGCAAACAACATCTGATCATTAGCAAAGAACAGATGAGTGAGACAAGGGCCATTCTTGGATGTCTTAATACCTTGCCAATGTTTACCTTTAGAAGAGGCAATGATCATACTAGAGAGTCTTTCCATGCACAAAACAAAAAGATAAGGGGTTTGAATTCCTGAAGAGGTTAACCATTCCAAAGAATGGAAGTTTGCATAGAGGTCACACAACTCATGATGAGCTCAATAAGATTGGGCTCAAAATTGAACTCCACCAGGGTTTGTTCTAAGAATTCCTAGGAGACAAAATCATAAGCTTTTTCAAGGTCAATTTACAGAATCATCCCTCCACTCATGCCTTTTCTTTGGTTCAAGGTATGGATAATTTCTTGAGTAGTGATAATATTATCACTAGTGGTTCTCCTAAGGACAAAACTACTTTGGTAAGGGCTGACAATTTTTTATAGGAGGGATCTAATTCTACTAACAATGATTTGGCGATAATTTTGTAAGTCACATTGCCAAGACTAATCTCAGGGTTCTCAATTTTGGGAATCAAGGCCACAAGAGTTCTATTAATTTCAGGAGGGATACACTTGTTGGAGAAACAATTTTGAACAAACTCATAAACAGCATGCCTAACAATGGGCCAATAAGTGTGGTAAAAAATAACTTGAAAGCCATCTCTCCCAGGTGCCTTGAAAGCCTTGATATGTTTAACAATCTGCCAGATTTCCTCATTAGTCACAGACTTAATGAGTGAATTATTATCAATAACATCAACTTTACAAGCAATAAGATTAGTCCAATGAGACAAATCAGTAGTAGAAGAAAAACAAAAAAGGTTCTTGAAATAATCAACAACCAGAGTTTTTAAGCTCTCAGTTTGATCAATCCAAGTCCCCTCATCATTTCTGAGCATGACAATCTTACACCTCCTCCTCTTAGCTAAAGCAGACAGATGGAAGAATTTAGTGTTTCTCTCCCCTTGGGTAATCCACTTAGACCTAGATTTTTGGAACCAAAGGAGCTCCTCTTGGTACAAGATTTTATTATATTGTTCCACCAAATCCAACTCTAAGATATGGAGGTTATGAGAAAAGTTACACAGTTGGGATTTTTGAATTCCCTCAATTCTACCAAGTAACCATCTTTTTCTCCTGAAAATGTTACCAAACACCTCTTTGTTCCACATAGTGATTTTGCTAGTGAGATTACCAAGCTTATCTAGCAAAGCGGAAGAAAGGGTACTTCCAGTTAGTTTCCACCATTGTTTAGAACTCTTCATGAGAGATCCAAGCAGCTTCAAATTTAAAGGGTTTACAAATAGGGTTAAAAGAGTGCTTACCTTAGGTGAAGATCATCAAAGGAGAGTGGTCAGAATAAGTGTGAGGGAGATTCTAGACCAAACCATCAGGGAAGCTGATCCTCCACTCAGTGTTGTACATAGCTCTATCAAGTCTCACCATAGTATTAGCCCACTCATTTCTATTATTGGACCAAGTAAATCTAGGACCAGTGTATCCCAAATCCATCAGGTTACAGTTGTTCACTCTCTCAGCAAATTTCCTTGCTCTCCGTTGATCTTGACTTTGGTTTTGGCTTCCAAACATGGTTCATTTTTCATCTAGAGATGCAAAATCATTAAAGTCCCCAGGATCAGTGACTGTTTGGGAAGTTCTTTCCAAGTTATCCCACAGCTCATCCATTTTCTGGCTAATAAGACTTACCTATATAGCAGTGATCAACTAGGAACTGGCCTCACAGACTCTTACATTCACTAGATTGGGGTGGGGTTCCAAACTAATCAAACACCCTCACTTCTACCAATGGGATCCACATGAGAAGAGGCAGTAAAACCCATCCTATTAAAAAACATACGCATAAAGTTGAACTCTACCTTGGTTTCCATAAAGATAAGCATATCAGGGTTGTTGATTTGGACTAACTCCCTTATATTCCTACAAAACTTCCTGTTACCTGCACCTCTACAATTCCAAACCAGTAAATTCATAGATGATTGATTAAGGGCAGGGAGAGTGTTCTGGTTAGATGTGCCCAGAACACCCTTAGCTTTACTCTGGTTGTCCTTCATTGACAATGCTGGTGTTAATGCTATGAAGTGCCACTCCTGGATTGCTTTGATATGTCTCCACGGTTGAACTCTTAGCTTTGCTCCCTCTATCTACCATTCTAAGGTTGTCACGCCTCCAAAAAAATTACAATAACCCATCACCAAATACTAGTACAAGGTGATATAAATAAAATAAGAAGCTTTCATTCATTAGAGTTAAATTACAAAAGATAATACATGCGATATACATTCATAAGTTGTTACGACCCGAACCCACCCCTATAGGTTTAGTGCCGTAACCAGTCAGTAATCCTTGGATTACCGAAGGCTTCTTAACATAATAGCATATAAATAGGGGTTGCAGAAGTAAATACATGAAATATACATAGTTCAACGAGCTGTGAAGACATACATGGGACTAATAATTTTGAGCTTTCATAACCATACGTGTGATCAAAACAAAATACAACAATTAAGTCACTTTATGTATACACAACAGAAAACTTGTTCGCAAATAAAAAGGAACAAAAACTTTTACATCCCCAATACACATCCATGAGGCTTGACTCAAACCGGAACCTTCTTGGGAGGCACGAAGGCTAGCTGACAAAAACTGAAACTCTAGGTCCTCAACTCTGAGCCTGGTCACATGCCTGATCACCTACATACGTAATATAAATGGTGAGCGGAAGCCCAGTGAATAATAACAGAGTAAAGGGTTAAATGAATGACGTCCCATAATTAAATTCGTACATAGAACCAATTCATATTCGTGTTCTT